GGAATGTTATCACCCCACATATTACAAAATATTGCCCCTCTCCCAGTATAGGAAGCACTGGCTGAGAAGGAAGCCTAATATATACGTAACACACGCACAAAACAAACCTTTAGTTTTAAACTGTAAGGAATTATAAATACAGAATCCTACTATTTCTTACATAAACAAACACCTTTCACATCAAATCAAGACAAAGGCTTCTGAACCTAACCTGATAAATCTAGTTAAAAGTGCTAGCACTTTTAGGAACACAAGAAGTAGCATTGCATACAATTAAAACAAAACCACTTTTAAGAGTTAAGAGGCTACTACATAGGGGTCCTTGGTCCTTTATGATGCGTTTTCTTTTTGGATATCAGAAGTAGATGATAAGAAAGATGAAATGCAACCAAATACAGTTGGTCTCTACACAGTATTTCTTTCTTTCTGTGCAATGTCTGATGCAACAAGAAAATTAATGGTAACATTCATGCTCCTGGAGCACTGCCTGGCGTACCTCTTTTATGGACTTTATTATCTAACTACCTGTACTATAAAATATTGCAGTGCAGAACAGCCAGTAAACCAAGTTATACTATTTGGCAATGCCTTTGCGGTGGCTAACCTAACAGCTCATCAAAAATCCACTGTGATCTCCAAGGCAGTGAGTTAATGCATCACAGAATTAGACAATTGGCACCCATTGCTGATTTTTTTTTTAAAGCTGTTATTCTTGCCCATCTCTTTTCTGGGGCATATAAAGAGTTTTTGTGATACATACATACATACATACATATATATGTATTTTTATATATACACACACACTCTCAAATGTAAGCAGTTGTTTCATTCAATTAACTTCATGCTTTATTTTATTTTTTAATTATCTTTCTGATCTTTTTTCATTAAAAGAAACCAAATTCAATTCTGTGTAGTGCTACCTCAGGGGATTTCATGTCATGTTCATTTTACAGACAGGATAGTTTAAGCTGTCATATCTGTCACTATGGATGTTTAATTGATTACTACATGAAGTCTTCCAAGCCATGGTAGAAGAGCCTTTTTTCTGGTATCTCGACAATCAATTTTACATTTTAGCACTGTATAACTTATGATGCTGGTATAGCTAAGGATAGGAAGACACTCTATCAAAATTGAGTATGCTCACATATTTCAAAGATACATCAAATACTGTTTGTCCTTTTGCATACACAGAAATGACAGTGACATACAACTTATCTACTCAGTGTGCAGTTCATACAGAACAGCTTTCAAAATGTGACCTTATATTTGCAGCTTGTCACCACAGGGCCATATAATCTTCTTCTACTTGTTCCAGCCTCAGTTAGTTTAATTGTGCTGAACAGTCACAGACTTAATAAAGTGGTTTGTGCTTAGCAAGCCTGCTTCACTTAATGCAAAACTTGGAAGATCCTGGGTAAACAAAAACAGGTATTCCCAGTAATATGATCTGTGGCACAATCCTGGAGCAATACGCCTCTCGGTCACTAACAAAAGGGCTTAGTTGCTCTCCCAATTGCATCCACTACATTCTTTTGACGTATGAGTTCTTTAGTTGTAATAATTGAAGATGTAGGAGGCTATAGTTATAAAAGTTTTAAACAGGTGTGCCTTTAATAGGTGTACACATACACTGTCTCAGGAATGACACAATTAAGACATAAAATTATCAAATTTAACTGCTTAATTTTTGAAAATATGATATGCTGATATAAGAAGCTTCATACCAGTTTAATTAAGTTGGTGGATCAAGCACAAAGTGTTAAAGCAACATAAAATCACCATCTAAGACCAGCTTTTCTATCCGTAAAAAACAAATTTGAAGATCTAATTTAAACACAAAACCAATACAAAGTAATTCTAACTACTTGATGCACAACATAATTAATACATGTAATAAATTACAGAATAAGGGTCAAGAGGTTACTTGTCTCAATAATAGCAATAAAAGCATTCCTGAGGCTTTTAACAGTCGGTTGATAGCTGAATACCAAAATTAATAGACTAAGGTATAGACAAGAAAACAGAACTTTCTGCTGTCAGTACTTGACAGAAAACAAATAAGTCACCATTACCCCAACATAAATCCTTTATTTTACATAATTTGAATTGAGAACTAATTTGGTAATTCAAGGTTTTCCTTTATTTTAATAGTGCCTAATTATTGGTTTGGTTTTCTCTATTTGCGAGTCAAATCATGCCTCACGCATTTTTTTTTTTTTGCTCATCAGACATTTGTTATAACTTTACAACTGCAGATCTTCTCACAGTTCATTCATTCAAGTACTAAGAAATCAAGATCTGCAATCGAATCTGCACATTCGATCCATGGGCCTTTCAATATACATTTCAACATGGAATTCAACATATTTCATTCAAATTATCTCCCAAATCTGTTTTAAACATCTAGCTGTAATCATATTCAGTAGCTTCATGTTAAAAGACATCCATTTACGGTATTTAATCTCTCAGTATTAAATGGAGTGCTATAAGCCGCTATAACAGTTTAACAATCACTCACAGACAACTTTGCAGACTTATGTGGGTCTATAAACCTGATAATTCACTACATTAAAGTTATTACTGGTAACAAGATGCCAGCTTTAGTTACAGTATATTATTATTTAAAATGTAAAATGATTACATTATTATATTATGACCTGCATGTAAAGTCTCACCTATCTTACACAACGAACAGGTGTGTTTTATCTGACCCACAGAATTCATACGGTACACGTCCATGTACGGGACTTTTAAGTTTTGCTCTCTTCTCTTAGGTGACATGCACATTGCACAGAAAGGGAAACGGTGCAGGAATCTAAGAAGCATGACTTAATACCTTCAGTCTCTCATATCATTCCCGTGTTCTTTAACTTACCTGCGTCAATGGGAATAATTCAAGCTCTTTTAGGAGTATTTTTTAAGGCTACCTACTGATAGTCTTCTCTGCTTTGAAACAGTTCATAGTCTGGGATTTAGAGAAAAGTAGTGCCTTGATTCTATAATGTTTTGAGCTGATACAGAACTTTCCATCTGAAAACCTTGAAATCACTAAAGGAACTAATAAAAATTCAACCTCCATGTAACCTGTCAAACTTTACTCCTTTTTCTTATAAAGATGTAATTAGATCTGTAATGGTTCTAAATATAATTCCGTACCATATTTTTTGTGTCTTTGATTCAAACGTAGGGTTAGAAAACTTCAGCTGGATCACACTACATAAATACTGTAAACATGAAGGATGAACCTGATAAAGAGTGCTCATCTAAATACCAGTGATTTATTTTCTTATTTTTCCCTCAGACCTTAAATATACAGTATGATAAGCTTTACACACATCACAATTCCTACTGATTTCAGTACTTAGGTATGTTGCTAAAGAAAAGTCTCGGTCTGAAGTACCGTTGTGTTGGATTCTGGCAAAACCTTTAATTGAAAATAATCTCAGACTCACGTCTTACTGGAGAGTGAGATCATTCAGAAGAGGTAAAGTGTTGCACAAAGTGCGGTAAGTTGCTTCATATTCACATTGGGATCAGAGTCTTCACATAAGTACGGAGTTTAATAGATCATCATACGGTTAACAGATCATCTCATATCTTGGTGAGGTTCTTACAGTTCCCGACACAGTGACTCTTAGAAATGTTAGTTAACTAATACTCATACACTGAGGGATGAATTCCCTTAACTATGCTGTAGTAATCATGTGGATGAGGTAAGATTGTCCATAACAGCAGCTAACCATAGAGCTCACACGAGTTAATGAGTTAACCCCACAGTCTACATAAATGGTCTTATCCTCTTTTAGATGAGGAGCTGTTTAAAGTCCTAATCCACAGCATAGTACTTTAAATTATCTTATATTTTGCAAATAGGCAGCATTTGCCCTCACACTCCCAGGTAAGCATGAGATAATTTTTAAGCCCCAAAACTAACTAAAAAATATTTTATTTAGATGAGTTGTCATCCCTCATTCTGGGGACCGTCTATTGTTCAGTTCCTTACTGTGTTTCAAGAAAATATACTTAAAGGCACTTTTAAGTCTAGGGGCGGAAAAAAAAGAGATCATTGGGAATTTTGAAAAAGGAAAGCACTTCTTTAAAATAGAGAACAAAGCATTTAGACTCTCTTTCCTGTTTCCATCTCCCTTTCCTCCCGCAAATCTCTCTTATATAATGGTCAAATCATTAGCCTGTATAATGTCACCAAATGAAAACTGCTTTAGATAATACACTTAAACTCTGATTAAATCAGAGATGATAGAGGAGATGATCAGCTTGCTTAATGAGATGCCTATCTTGTATACAAATTTTAGGTGTCTAGGAAATCAGATATTCTAAAGTAAATGTCTATTTTACCTGAATAATCAAAAAGGAGACATGCCTTTGATAACTTAAGAGAAATCTTAGCTAACCCAAGTCACTCTGCAGTAGTAGTATTAAATCAGCTAAAGCACTGGGGCAATACTGATGGCAGGAGCGACCAGTATTTAGTGCAGATCAGAAATGAGCTTTTGCATTAAATCTCCCAATTTTCTCCACTAACTGTGCTTGGGTTTCACAACACAGAGCACTCTTAAGGTACATGAACTAGATTATTTTTCAATGAAAGTAAATCAGAGATTCATTTCAGGAATACATCTAACGTGCTGCAAGAGTTAGGTAGCAGATGCACCGAGACAAGTGCTTGTGAAACTACAGCATGACTTGTATAAACGGATCTCACCCCTTGTTAGGGAAACATATTGAAAATATTCTAGCTAAACCAAAGTTGTGGTACTCTTAGGAGAGAGTAATCTTGGATTTGGGTAAAGACAACATTTGCAGAAATAGCAAGATAAAGGGTGCTACATGTGACTTTTTAACCATATCAGAAACATGTCAGTCATTCTGCGTTCCAAATACACCACTTTACATGATCTAATTTTACATCACTTAAATCAGTCAGGATTTCCTCCAAACTAGTTCTAAACAATAGCCGGTGTGTGATCGCAACTTGCCTGATCAAGATAAAAAGCACTGCCATCTCGGATCTCTCGTCGCTGTTTGAGGTCAGTTTCTGTAGTGTCCCTCGACAGTGCAATGTATTCAACCTCCCGCTTCGTCAGCTCCTGTGGACAGTAGTCTGAAGTTATTACAAAAATAAAACTATAACTCAGGTAAGTGAACTGTAACAATGGGCCTAATGGTATAATTGTACAAGAGAGGTCTAGGCAGCAGCGCAGCGATCCGAAATAACTCTGAACAAAAACCTAATATCTCTTATTTTTAAAATGTTTACAGTGTGTTCTGCCTCAAACAAAATGGTTTGAATTTCTGCTCAATAAACTTTTATTTTTCCCAAACCTGTTCTAAAAACATAATAACCAGCTATAAATTCTTTCAACTGAACATCCATAAAGTCCTTTAAGTTAATTTTCTGGTTGCGGACACTGAAGAACAATCTGCAAATCATGAATAAAAATCGTAAGTTTTCCATAAAGAATTCAAAAGTTTCAACTCTGCCTCTGTTCAGTAACATTTATCCCGTGAATCAGCTACAATTATTACCTCAACATGCTTTGTCAATATATTGATGAACTATATTGTTCTCGTCCCCTTTAATACCATGAAATGCAGTCTGCATCTGTAAAACTATAGATTACTTCAAAAGTGAAAACCGTTGCGCTATTTTTTGTTTTGATTCACTATAAACCGTATTTGCAACTTGCTGTCTTAAAGGGAAAAAAGAACACGCTTCTATCTGACGTTCCTGCTACTTCTATATCTGGGGTGTGATGTATTCTGCTAGGAAACACAGATTCGTGGTGAATTGCCCTTGTCCTTACCACTCATTTAAAGGTATGAGATATTTAACAGATCTTTCTTCAGAGACTGTTTAGTTATAGTTCGACGGAAAAAAAAAATCTAGCAAAGATATTAAAACCTGAATAATGACTACCTTTTCACTTTTTCAGGACCTGTTGGACTACAAAGCCATCAATTCCTTTACAGAGTAGATAGACGCAATTTTACTTAGGATTAAAAAGAAAAAACAGAAGGGGAAATACAGGAGGGTCTTCTCTAACAATTAGCCTCAGGTAAGCACACAGTAACAGCTTTCAGCACAGGCAGACAGAAGTTCTCCGAGTTCACATAGCTTCATCAAAGGCATGACAGCACATACTAGCTCCCATGCAAAGGCCAGCCTTCATGCAGTTGCTTGGCATGGCATTGAAACAGTAGGCTGCAGCCTTTCTTATATAGCTCAGGTGCACGCAGACAGACGCATAAATAACAAAATATTGTCTATGTCCCATGCCTGGGTAGCATGTCTCTCCCAAGCCCTCTTTTCAGGTTATACCAAACTCTTCTCATCTATTTTACAGAGTGCACTGAGCAAGCAAGTAGCATATCTGGTCCGTTCATCAAGAAATCTTTGCTCGCCTTCCCAAAGTTCAAAATACTGCAGCTTTATCCTGCATGCATTACCTCAGAGAAGAAATGGCTGACCTTCCTATTAGTCTTAGTTTACAAATCTCCATTTGTGATCCTTCTGCCCAAGCAGATTCCAGGTAGAGCCCACAGCGGACAAAGTCCTACCCACATCATCTTTTGAAACAGACTTCCCACCATCCTGATCTCTTAAGGGCAACAATGATTTAAACACAAAATCTTGCACACGGTGCTGCCACGGTTCCTGTATGTGGATGCAGGCATGATCTTCCTACATCCTGAGAGAGGATCAGAAAGGCAACTACTCTTCTTGATAATGGTTCCCAGATATTACTCAGAACACTCCTCTCTCAAACCCCTTCATTTCTTTTTTTGTACAATGAAGCAAAAACGATTTGTTGTCTGTAACAGCAGGCAGATATCTTAATCTTCTAACATACGTAAAGCCTAGAACGAACTGTTTCTCCATTTGCGATAGCATATGGTAACACAGTTTTCCAACTCTTTTTTTTCCCCTGGAGTTTATGCAGAAAAATATGTATTAAAATGCCTGTACGTTCTAAGCACCATAAAACAAAAACTGAACTTGGGAAAGCATGTTTATGGAACAAGTCATTCATCACCCAGGTAGCTGGCTATAAGAATTTCTAGGGCTACTTTTCACAATTTGATTAGTAGAAGAAGGACTAGATAACATTAATGACTATTTTTTCAAGAATTTAAACCAACATACATACCAGGTACTGCATGGCAATAGACCGCCGGAGGGGCCCAGGAGGACCAATAAGAAAGACATCTTGGCCGAGAAGATCTTTCTGCATGATCCATCTTAAATGGTGGATTACAGACTGGGCCAAAGAATCTGTCACTTTGCAAGAAAAATAAAGATAAGAACATATTATGCAGTTCCAAAAAGCGTTAAAAAGATACTTGGCCAGCCACACGTTTTCTCAAAATTAAAATCATATCATACTATTATTATTTTTAAAAACAATAATCCAATTATAATTAAATCACTTTTTTTTGCAAAGTTGGAGGCACTAGAAAGCGAATACGTCTCCACATGCCCCGCAGCACAGCCTAGCGTCTTCTCAGAAACGAGCAAAAAGCATTAGCGCAGGAGGATAGAGAGAGCACAAGGAAGCGAGGAGGAAGGTTTAGTTATGCGGGTATGTATATGGCTGCTTTCAGAAGAATCTGACAAGGCCGTTGATAGGGCTTGAAGCGAGGGCCTAGAGGGTGGTGCCGGGGTGCTACATACGCATTTGAAGTGCAATAAGAAGGGAGGAAGGGAAGACCAAATCTTCAAATTAATAATTGTTAATTTACCTTTTTTCAGTTTGACTACTGGTGGTAATTAGAAGCCAAAATTTAAAAACAAGCCCTGGTTCTACATGAGCTTTCCTGAGGCAAGGGAGGCAGTATATGCAAGGCAGAGTTCAGCGACAGCAAGCAATACATTCTGAGGGGCTTCAACTCTCCTTCGAATCAGCGTATACCAGAACTGAAATTTATTTTTTTAAATCACAGAAAGAGCCTAAAGTGATTGTATGAGGTTGCAAAAAGACTTTTCAAGCTAAAAGTGACTAAAAAGCCCACTGTCAAAAATGTTAATTGAATATTTTGATCTGTCACTCACTAAAAACATCAGAAATCCTCTTTTAACTTCCAGTGAAATCTATTATACCCTTACCATCAATATGAACAGGACTAAGACACATACACACATGGGCACTCCATGCATTAGCACCATCAAATCAGCTTTCAATAAATATTTCAGATAGTGTGTGTGTATATGCATATACATACATATTATATATGTATTTTTAAACAATTGCCATTAATGTGCCCATCATCAATCAACATACTGTTCTCTCATATGCTGGTATGCTAATATTTTAGGGAATGTAAGAATATTTTTTGCTGTGATACTGCTTTTTTCCAAAAGCAATGTGCATCAGATAGCTCACACACACACTAGGCCAAATGCAAATAAATTCCTCACAGGGAATAACATGCTCCTTTCTATGAGATTTTCAAGGAAATTAATATTTACACATACTGCTTGTGAAATAAGGGCTAATACAGAACACCAGAAGAATTGCTACTGTATAGGTATAGAAATTTGTCATTTTTGAAAAGCACCACACACAAAAATGAGCGTTTTATAGTAAAGGTATCATTAAAGCTGCAAGACAAAGATGCACATGCATTATTACTTCTACTTGTTGTACGAACATGCCTCTAGTGTATTTTTATAATGGCTGTTCTCCAAAGAAAGATTATACTGCAAATATTAGGCAATTTTTCAAATAAGCTTGCAAATCTTGCTGAAAAACTGAATTCTCTTATGCCAAAAGCCATGCATTAAAAGCATGCCAAAAACAGCTTTGACACAGCATGGCTACAAATGCCTCTGGTGCATTTCACATTAATATGTGTAGCTATCTTTATTTTTAGGATGGCCTCAAGAAAACCTTAGGTCAGACTTAAAAGCTGTACCATAAATAGAAACAAGATTTAAGAATGTTCAGCAACATCTGCAAGACAAATTGTCATGTAAAAGAGAACATAAATATACTGCATTCAAAAAATCTAAAATCTTAGGAGTAACCCTGCAAACTTTAGTGTATTCCAGGGCATTTATGTTCTCTTGGTTGTATTTAAACAGTACATATTATTTACTCTGGAAGATTAATATGCAAAATGCAACTTTTTAAAATCTTGCATAATTTCTTAACTTTCCTTTTTGAGAAAAGGGCGCAAAAGATAGAATTCCTGATTGTTACATTTATTTTAAAAAAGGTTTTATTGTTTCATCATTTAAACCACTCTCCTCACATGCAGATTACAGCTGGATCAACTATAAAACGTTTTTTAAATTACAAAGTCAGCTCACTGACCATATGCAAACCTCAGCGTTACAAATAAATTCTGAAAATTCAAAGAAACGTTTCCTAAAGTGAACAGTCATGACATCAGCTCCCACTTTTCAGTTCCATATACTGTAGCATGTAATGTGTAATAGCTGTACATCTCTCCATATATTAAGCCTGCTTAAGTTTCCCACTCCTAAAATCAGAAGAATATAAAGTTTTCTTTGTATGTGCAGCCTATACTGCATATTGTATAAACTGTTTCCAAAGCACAGCATACTTTTCAACAGCAATTTCAGATGCACATATGCAGTATCTTGTATTTTATTTTTATATATTTAGACTACTTTTACTGTGATATGTGTACTGCAAAACTTTTATGTTTTCTCTAACTTGACTCGAAAAAATTCCTTGCTGCTCAAGTACTATATGTTAACTTTACTACAACTAGCATACAATCATTTTCTGCGACATTTAGGAGATGAGGCAAATTAGCTGAAAACAGCACCAGCATGTATATTACGGCAGTTTTTATTAATTATCCCATGAGTCAGAAGTCATCTAAAGCAAACTGGGTTTGCACAATCTGTTTCAGTGGCACTCTGCTGATTTGCACCAGTGGAGTAGCTGGCCCTGTATTCTTAATCTGCAGGATGGTGCGTAGGAAGCCTCTATAGTGTATTCTCAAAGACACCATCTGCCACAGGCAGAAGAGTACTCAGAACTACAATTTGCTATTCCTGCGTATCAAGGATGGCCAGAGAAATAAATTGCATTGTACTGCTTTGTAATATGTGGTAAGTAGGACAACACCTAGCAGAATCTGTGGAAACATTTTGTAAAGCGAGCAGTTAAAGCTGAATGGAGAAACCCCAAAAGAAGAAAAGAAGAAAATACTGCGGATAGATTTTGAAGTGAATGCAGCAGCTGCTGTTGTTTGATCCACAAATCAGCTTTTGATAAAACGAAGACTTGGAATGGCTACGCTAGCTTTGGAAACTTTCCAGTTCAGTCGTACTTGGATTTCTGGCACACGGCGCACCCAGTGAAGCCACAAGATTCACTGGAGATAGCAGACAGTATCTGCTGGCAGGTCTCTGTGTCCCACCTACAGAAGAAATCCCGTAAATGCAGGAGATAACTACCTCTTCCCACTGTTTACAGGCAGACAGGCAAAGTGATTCTCAAGAATATCTATTCTACATGTGAGGCATAATACATTAGAGCTCATTTCCCTGTGTGATTCCAGTCTGGGCAATCCATACTAACCTACAGGCACTTAGAAAACACCAAGGTATGTCATTTTAAACCGAACAAAAAAGCACTGCATATCTTGAACGTTTGTTACAGTGCATGGTTACAGTCTGAGAATGAGCCCCCTTATAAGGAGAGGTGAAACTACACGGGTGAACATCTCTTCTGATTACTAAGAGGGTCTTTTAGCATTACACAGCAGTTTGTAGCACACCCAGCACTGGGGTGGCTACTGTAAAATGTGGTTGGGGAAGGAAGGGACAAGGAGGAAGGTCTTCGTCTGCAAACATAAAACATTTTAAAAAGGGAAAACGTTCAAGAAACTCAGCTCACTGAGACATTTCACAGCTTTTTCAGGCTGGGAGAAAATAAAGGAAAGGAGTGAGTTGTCCAGCACGGCGTGAAGAAGGAAGTATGGCTCAGCTGAAGAGTAAGGCACTCGTATGTGGCCTGCTCTCAGCTGTTTTCATTTAGCCCTTTACAAATAAAACACTGTTGCTCTTCCAATTTTATTTTGGTGTGCAGAGCACTGGAACTTGTCAAAGTCACATAATGTGGTTGTATTATAGTCAGTTTTCACTGGAATACTGTTCTGTCTTATAAATTCTGCATAGAAACAGTTTTAATTCCAGCAATTTTTGTTCTTGCAGTCGTACGGAAGCAAGCTGTAAGTCTTTGCAGGGGTTTGGAAAGGAGGAATTTACCTTCCTGGATTACACTGTAAACTTATTTTTTTTCCTCCGAGCCAATTGCTTCACAGGAAGGTGTAAGAAAGCCAATGCAGGCACATCACTGCCTCTATCTGAGTATAAATGAGAAGAGAACATAAAAGGATCAGGAAAAACCAAGCAGACTTCTAAAAGAGACCGAGTTTCTATTAGCGACACATAAACATGGAATAGATTGAATGATTCTTAGCTGGATGCACAATTGGTAGGAAAATACACCGCTATGGCAGTTTTCCATAGCTCACTGGACAGCTGGAGGAAAGTACTGTGCCTGGTTTTGAGTCCAACAGCTCAGTTCGGCACAGACAAACTCGAGATATTCTAGTGAAGAGCAAGAAAAATGATGAAAAGTCTAGAAAACGTGGAAAAGTTAAAGAAATTAGAATTAAGTCGAGAAAAGAAATGACTAAAAATCATAAACATTACTTTCCAATACGCAAGAGAGAATCATAGTGAATTAAAAAAAACAAAAATTCTACCTCACGGTCATGCCAGACAGAATGAGCCCTAATGAGGTAAAAGACTATCAAAAAAGATATTCTTAAGGCAACAAAAATGCTTTTTTAACCAAAAAAATGGTTAATTCCTGAAGCAAATTGTGTGGGGAGATTCTAGAATCTACATCACCGGCAGATTTTAAGAACAGGGGGGACAAACATCCGCCAGGAACGGTTCACATATACCTGATCCCACTTTCAGGCAAAAGAAACAGCCTAGACAACCTCCTGAGTTCCATCCAGATTTTATTTTAAGATTTCTATGTTCATGCACCTTCCCATGCCTCACTCTCTGCATCGACAAAATGGGGTAATGATGTAAAGCATTCAGAGTTCTACTGACAAAAAGCACTATTTAAGATCTTGGCTAGGTGATAACAGCCTAGTAACGTATCAGCTGCAAGCCTACGTGAAAACTCTAAGTGCTGAAAATAACCACTGTCTCCTAAAACAGACATCTTTCTTTATGTTAGAAAAGAAGAAACGTAATGACAAAAATCTTTGTTAACGCAAAATTACAGTCATCGTGTAATGCAACCTGTCTCCATAATGTGTTGCATTCTGTAACACGCAGACTCTTAAAGTAAACAAAACAACGAAGGAGGACACATTCCAACGCAACTTGGAACCTACCTCGAGCGTTAACCAAAGGCACCTACTCGTTCTCTGCTTTTGCAAATGGGGCATATCATTCCGGGATAAGGACACAGAAGCATCTTGCTGTTAAAGCAGTGCTGATGTTTAGGTACGGTAAAAAACCCAAGACCTGCTGATACCACTAATCCTAGGACACAGAAACAACCCTCATTTCCTCAGCATTAGAATCATTCCCCTTCAACCACAGAATGCTATTTAATGCTACGTTTTTGTATTTCATTATTAGATACACATTATTAGACGCACAAAATTCCTGTTTACCATGTTCCTTATGGTAAGAAGTCTACCAAATACCTCAGCTGACAACAGTAACTGGATTTATCAACTTAAAGGACGCACATTGAATCCCTGAAGACAAACATCCATTTTCCTTTTCAGGACATATTGAGGAGGGAGCTCAGACTCATGCCCTGGCATACTTCCATACTCAGTTTGAAATTAATGGTCCACAATTCAATACAGTTACATGCAACATGAATAGAGCCAAATTCCCAAATGCATTTGCCGCTTCAGAGAGCAGAGCTGATGTGGCATTGGACTGGAACTGCACATTTCCTGCTTTGCAGAGGATTCACTGTCATTGAACAAAGCACTCTGGAAGAGCTATGTTAGGAATTTTTTTGTCAAAATTAACAAATATGTGAAAGAGCAGGCACATTGCCATTTTCATAAAATTTCCAGAAACCATTAACGGAAGCGGTGCACTGACATGAACTCAGCATAAAAAATTTATGTGTATTCTCATAATTCAATCTAAACTACCATGGAAAACCATATAAAGCTTCTCCAAAGTATAATTAAAGAAACAATCACGCTTTTCAGGCATAGCAAGATTTTAAAAATGCAGGTTTTGTTCTTACTGATAAAAGAAAAAGCAGTGCCAAAATAAGTGCCCTCTTTCCAGAATGTGTCAGATGCAGTTATAACAGAAATTCCATTAACAAAATTCCCCTGCGCATGACTCATGTTACCTGTCACTTATAAACAGCAAAATAAGAACAATTCAGATTTTACGTAACTTCAGTTGTAATCTTCTGAGAAAAGCCATTTGCCAACAATAGCAAAACAAATTAATATTTTATATTAACACACAAAATGGAGTATTTCATATAGAAGCTGCTATGTACCTAACATAAAACCTGAAAAGCAAAGACATGAAAACGTAAAGTAACCAGCACTAAACAGCCTATGTGCTTCTGTAATATGAAACAAGGGTCAAGAAAGGACTTAAAAAGCAGGTTAATGTGGTAACACAAAGACTGAGCGTTTTGGTATCAACTATGTGACAAAATGACAAAGTTAAAGTTACGTAGGTACCCAATGCATTTACATTCCTTACTGTGTTGTGATTTTCTCAGATTTTTAAGGCTAATTTTTAGCCTAGAGTAATAACGCTGAGTTTAGAATAAGTTATAATATCCCTAAAATTTCCTCTAAAATTATAGAAATGCACTTTCAACCTTACTGCATCTTAACATGACCTTTATCTAGCAGAATAACAGCAGCAGAAGCATTCTATTTTACACAAATGGTGAGGTAGGTAACAACATTATTTGCAGCAGTGGTCGATGCACTTTAACTGCTTCAATTCCCTCCTCTTAGTTCTTATTCCATTGCGAGCATTATTATGTCTGAGTGATTCCAGACCTTTTCAGGGGTATTTCCCACTTAACTGGATGACTGAATTATTTCTAGATTTAGTTTAAAGGGAATTAGGTAACTAGCTTGATCATTTTAAAATGTAATATTAGTTACTATAATAATATTTCAAAATATATGACATTTTAGTTTACAGATGAGTATAAATATACAATTATGTTCATGTGTTTTGCACTAAGACTTGTTATATCTACAGCACAAACTTTCATCCAGCAAAACAAAAAGTAATTCCCTTAAAATAAGAAAAAATACACTTGGTAAGTTATGCCTGTACTCTCTAAAAGCCTCACAGAGAGGATATAATTGACACGGAGCCAATATAATCTATTTATTTCATTAAATGAATATAACTTTGTCCTCAGTGGTAATATAACCATAGAAGTTAAGCATTAAGGGATAAAAAGTTTCCTAAATTTAAATTGTAAAAAAAAAAAAAAAAAAAAAAAAAAAAGGATTTTGGATTTTGAAATTGGAAATTATTTTTTTCCTACTAACTGCATGAATATTTTACCTTATTCAATTTTAATTAAATATTTCAGTTTATAATCAAGATTATTTATTGAATAATCTTGCTATTAAAAACATGCTGATCAACAACAGGGTCCAAGGCTCCTTTCAGGTATGGTTATTAAAAAAAGAGAAACAAATAACAATAAGGTACACCTAATATTTGCTTATAGAGCTTGCTTTTAGTTGTAGAATCAGATTTAGCAAAGATTTCATAACTCTGTATAATTCCATTTCAATCCCTTTTTCTTGTAATCACATTATTTTCAACCACTTTTTCCTTCTTACACTAACTAAAAAAATCTTATCTTTTGATTCTACCAAACACTGTCATACCCTCTTACCTTCCCAGGCCAACAGAACTGAAAGATAGCTCTAGCATCTTAGACCTAGCATTCATTTACATTTGGTATAGCGCATGAAAAACAGAAGGTAAAACAAAAAAAGTAAATAAGTGAAACAGATCACATTTATTGACTGATGTGCTCGTTTCATGATCAATATGAAAAAGTAGGCATCAAGAATATATGACGAAAAGTAAAAATCTATCATTTAAGAAGCTGTAAAAAGTAATGATATCGACTAGTATTTCTCAATTGCTTGGCTACATTCCCAGGGAACTCATAAGGTATGGAAAGTGTCACTACAGCCGGGAATGACATATGGCACAGGATATCTTTGGCACATTAGGTCTCCTGGCAGGAAAGTGCCACAGTGTCATGCCAACTGGGGCATGGGAATTAAGCAGCCCAGTCACAGACTACTGGCCAGCCTCACACTAATCACTGACTGAAAGCAAACAAAATCTCCCTTCCTATATTCTTGCTATACCTCTCAAAGGACAAACATATCAACATACATTTATTATTCATATATCTGATGTTTATTTTAAATGTAAAGAAGTTGTGGAAATGTTTTACGTTTCAGAAGACAGACTGCATTTCAGAAGAGAGAGCAGATGAAAAACAGTAGTCCAAACATGTCACTAGTAACACAGCTCTGCTATCCCACAGCTGCTATCAAATAAGGGGTGTCTGATGAAGTACTTTTTGTACTGAAAAGTACTAAAGTCCTTTGCCTAAAAATACAACAACATGAACTGTCACACAGCAGCTCCCACCTTTTCTGATACTGTACCAGCAACACCCACTGCAGGCAAGCCTACTGTTTATACGATCTCTGCTACTCTTTAAGAAACTGAAAAACACTCATCCCTTTCCCTCTCTCAGAAATCTATCATCCCAGCAGTTTTCTTGGTTTCCCCTTCAAAATGGCATGGAGTGAACATAGACATGTTGGAAAGCAAATTCACTTGAAGTCAACGATGACACCCGGACTCCAGTCATAGGACCTCGCAAACCCAGTGAAGACAGCAGCTGGCAGTTCTCAATGCCTGGCCATGCTTAAGTATAGTGTAAGACATAGCCCTTTTGAATATCATGTGTGCTTGTTTTCCCAGATTTGTCGTCTTTTTTGGCCTGAAAATTTATCTAGGTGGAAAAATTGGAATCTAATTTTTTTTTTTAATTTGGTCCAGCAGCCTCTGTAACAAGTGGCAACTGATCATTTTAGATCATCAGAAAATAGTTGGACTGACTGTTCTAAGAAATGACACAACAAAAGCATGATTCACCTGCTGATCCCCGGTACAAAGGAAAAACTCAGGCATGTATTCATCAAGGAACAAAGAAGAAACATAGAGGGCTAAGGCTCTATTGCCTTTTTAATAGAGGTTCAAAAAGGTAGTATGAATTCATCGTAAGTGTATACATCATTAATGTACATAATTGGCTGTGACTTTGATAAGTATTTGATAGCACTTTTCAGCACTATGCAGCTGACTTCTTATTAACTTGATGGATTTCAAAGATCTGTTTGTTTGTTGACAACAGTTACATGACAATCCGAGAATACCAAAAATCACAGTAGAAAAATCCCATACGTCTTCTATCTGAGAAAACTCCTAGGACATATAATCACATTGCAACTGAATAATAATTTTAAACTGCCAGAGTTTTATGAACAAACAACATGTGATAACTGTATTACTAGTAGAAGCAATTGCTAGATGAGGTCCCTTTTGAATAGAGTTTTCAAACAGACACGAAACATTCTTTTACCATCCCATTGATTAATGGGATCAGATGTATTCAAAGTCAAGAGATTCCTATTTAGCCAGCTGTATCAGAGAAAAGGTGAAGAATTAGTTCCGAGTCAGTAAAGATAGCCTTCCCCAACTTGTGTACTTTTTCAAAACATATACCTTAGATAATTTCAGTTAAATTACTGGGGTGATTTGAATGAGTACAAGTTTATAGAATAAGGCCTTGACAGCCATTCAAAAGGAAAATAGATTCTTACTGTAGTTCTGTGGAACAAGTTCTGGGTTCTTTGGTGTTTTGAGTTTGAAAGATACATCTCCGATAGTGACAGTATCACCTAAAAAGAGAAAAGAAGTATTTTAGTTCCCAGATACTTTTTAAGCGTGCAATATACTTATATTAAAATCTAAATCATAGGCCTGCTGTGGGAAGGCTGACTGCAAGTTCACAAAAGATGCTATAATGTGTTTGAGAACTATTAGTTTACTAATTAGGCTCTGAGGGTTTTCAATAGATCAGGCAGCAGTACAAGTTATGTTTAATTAATAATCCGCAACTTTTTTTTTTATTGCTGTTTTTATAACCAGGGACTTACTTGGATGGGAGCTATGGAATTTAAGCTCACTATACAATTCCGTTCCAGACATCATCACCGATTTCTTGAAATGAAATGCTTAGCCTGTTTGTCTGCAGAAATAGCAGTGAGAAACACTTGTAGGGGGGATGATTTCCCTGAGTTTTCAGTAAGCCTGAACCTGTACCTCTCAGAGGTACAAAATGACATTTTCATACCAGTGGGTCCTTACTGCACTCTCTGACAGTACAGCTGCAGAATCCAGTACCTTTCCGTGGTTCCAGAGGACTCAAGTATTTTTTGCTCTGGATTTCTGTATTTCCTAAAATCAAGCACCTGCCATTTTATTTACTAGTCCCTTACTAAGACTGCAAAAGTCTTATCTGTCTTTCTGCATTGGCAGGCTTGAATTAAATTGCAGGGCATGCCCTGTGTACTTTCTCATGGAAATCAGAACTGAAATCTAGTTTGCAGCCAGGAAATGGGTGAGCACCAAGAAGGCATTGGTCATACAGAAAAACAGCACAACAGCCAAAATGTGTGAAGCCAAGAAAACGAGCTGCAGACTGGTAACAAACAAAGGTTATATTTTTCAATAGCTGAACCAAGTCGGGCAAACAAGTTCATGACTACTAAGTTGATGAAACTAAGTCAGCTGGTGAATATAGTAAAATTATACTTTTTTCAGTTACTATTGTTGAAGATAACACCACTTTCACTGCCTAACATGCTACAGTATGCGTGAGGATGGAGAGAATTAGTTTTAGTTAGATTACTGGCAGTAACACTGCTGTGCAGCGGGTGCAGCTCTGCCACGACACTCTGATTACACTACCTTTCCATGAATTAAGGCCAAGTTTTAGAACTGTTTATGGCTGTGTTTTCTGAGAATTGAGAGGTAGAAAGGACACGGCCACGAACAAGATCCAACCCTAAAAATCCTGTTGTTGATCTGCACCTCCTCCTACAGCATCTGAGAGGATCCATTCTCCAGCTGCCTATTTGCAGCACTATATATGAAGTCAGAGAGTTCAGAAGACCAACACCAGAAGCAGAGAGGGTGATGCTGAACAGGAAGCTCACGTCCAAATGGCCAAAGGCACCTAAAACTGCTCCCATGCAGCAGCTCTCCTTTCAGTCAGCAGTGACTATAGTTTTGCACTCAAAGGCAGTCCTTTTCCAGCTTCCCTAGATGTTACGCCAGATCTTACAGGACTGAGAATTCATAGGTTCTGACACTGCTCATACAGTCCATGGTAAAAGCTACACGTTCAGGACTTGATTTATAGCAGCCAGCGCAGAAGCACTTTAAGCAACAAACAAGAAGTGATGAAGAAAGGATTACAGCTGATTTCCACCCAAATGTAAGTGCTTAACAATGACCCTGAGACTGGGATTCACAGCCTGACGTACATGCCTGCACTTGGATGTCTTTGTTGCTCCTGAAGTCCCAATAAACAGCCCACCTTTTTTTCCTTAAAATATTGGCAGAAGAGGATAAACTCCTCCCACATTTTATCAAACAATACAGTGCTTAAATGACTTGCGCAACAGCAATACTGCTATATAAAAGGCCGCCAAGGGTTAATCCCCAACCCTAACGCCAAGTGTCACCGAGTAGTTCCTACTTTCCCTGCTTAGAGGTAAGCATCCTTCTCTGGCTAATTTGTCTACAGCCAAGAAGCAGATGGTCCAAAATAGAGCTGGGGCTAAACTAACAGTTAGGCAGACCAGGTGATTAGCAGGTCGGCGCTTTAGCTCATTTCCTGCCCCTCTTTAAATCTGCAGTAAAAATGTACCTATGACTCCTGTGCCCTCTTCAGCTTGAAGTGTTTAAACTCTCTCCAAAAGAAAGTGCAGCAGTTCAGGGATCTGTTCCCCGTTCTCGCAACTGTTACATATTTTATGTTAAAGAGTCACCAGACAAAAGATGCAACTTCGGCAAGGAGGAGAACCTAGGATTTCACACTCAAAGGGGTTTGCCCACTTATCCAGGTTTTAAACCAAGAAAAACTAGTTTACTGCCTAAGCTTTGTCTCCCATTCCCTTTCTTCTGCTACAGCTCCAACCACTCTTCTCACTGGAGAGCTGCTAAAGGGTTGACCAAAATGCCTCCAAGAAGGAAACATCACAGGAGCCCACTGCTTCCTGCAAGAATTGACACTTCACTCGTTAGCTCTACTAGAAAGAATTTTAACATTCTAAAAAGAGCAGGTTGCCTGATATATCCTTAGGAAATTAGTGCCAACTTGTTTTCTCACTGCTCCCCAGCCAACATGCAATGAGACAAGAGTATATGACTAATTAGCTTCTAGCTTAAATCACCTCAACTCAACTTGTAAATATTCTTTCATACATACACAGCTTTCCAAAACACAGTAGGGATAAGATACCAGATGCCAAAATAACAAGGTGTCAGACTTTTTAATACATTGGGATGATGATATCATCTCCATAAGAGCATTTTAATTACCTATTTTATTGGCTGAGCATTAAAAAGCTTTACCCTCAATTCCCCACACTTTCCAAAAAAAAAAAAAGAGCAACAAACTGAATGTTGTCTAGGTGAAAAACTGGAAAATACATCTTCTTTGATGGGATTCAGGTCAGTCCATAACATGCTAGCTCTTGAACAATGGATCCAATCAATTCCAAAATTTTGACAAATATTCCAGCCATCAATGGACCCTACAAATGTTGGTGAAATCCAGGCTGGGAGGGAACTTCACAGAGGAGAAGAGGAGAAAGTTGAGCACACAGCATACAGCTAGCACACAGCTAGCTGGCAAGGAAGTGACAAGAGCCTGCTTGGTAATCTGCGGGGTTAAATCAGCAAGACTCATAATTTAAGGACGCGTACCCCAAATATTTTGTTTATATTTAGTGATCAGGAAAGAAGTAAGAAGGCAGAGAAGTCAGTGAGGTGAGTTTTGAATCTTCCTGTGATTTGCAGATTCACTTTTGTTTCCTGCGCAGTTCTTGTTGCTGAATACTATTTGTTTTCACCTTCTTATCAGCCTGAATTAGCAATAAGCAATTCCACCAGGAACGTCCAGCCTCATCATCCCCACAGTAAATGGAAGGTGCTACAAACAACTTCATAGGGTAAGTTATGTAATGGACCACTGCAAATTACAGAATACCCCACAAATACTCCACCCCAGCTCCCAAGCTACTATTTCACTATTGTGGATAAAAGCCATACAGGTATGGCTTTGTAGCGAAGACTCTGTAGCTTTATACTAGACTTGCTTAGGCTAACTGCAGTGAAGATGTGTCCCTGGTTTCTTATCTTGCAGACAGAAAGTAATAATCTTAGTTATCACAATCTTTGGGGAAAACAGTGGGATACAAGGAGTGCCTGATGTAGGTCTGCTGAAACAAGGGAAGAGCCAGTTAACCCAGAGGGGGGCATCCCATTTGGGGGGCGGTCAGCATACAACGGAGGTACTTTAGGAGCCCATGTCATGTGGATCAGACAGTGGAGGCACATAAAGATTATGACCCAATAACGGGTCACTGTGACAAGGGGATACAGAAGGAGCCTCAATATATGCAATGACCATTCTGCTGCCTCAGGAGTAGACAGGTCTTCATTGTAACTGTCCTGTAATGCCAATTCGTGTATGTATAGGTAACTAGCCAGTAAGTGCAACGCATGGAAACTCATATACTCCCTTCTTTAGAGGAGAGGTAACAATATTAAGACATACATTTGTTCTTACTATAACTGACAGGGGCCCTTTCGGTGAGCAGGGCTATTCATCATGTTGTTTCTCTCACTAAACCCATTCAGGGCTACTGAATACAAAGGCATCATCTCTAGCTCCAGGTCCCTGAACTGCAGGGGAGGCAGCTGGAGGCTGGGAGACGGAGTCGGGAGAGTATCACTACATGAACATCCTGGGCTTTTATTCCTCCCCAGGCATCTGCCACTGACCGTTCTCAGATACAGTATAGTAGAACCTGGTAGACCTTTTAACTGACCCAGTATGGAAGCTTTTTTGTACAATCGCAATAAGAGAACTTCTTGAAGCCACAACTAATCCCATCGATAATATGTAAGATGGTAAGATTGGTGCCTTCGACCTGTCTTCTATTTAAAAGCTAGTACTATGTCAAATATCTCTCTTTTCCTCCCTCTTCCCCCCAAAAACCTATTCCCTAATCATACTGTTTTTCTATATGCTAAGAAAAAAAGGAACGGCTGTTTAATTCAAATTATTTACTGTAGTGCATCATATATGAAGATAAATAGATTGCATCTCAACTACAATTTAAAAATTTAAATAGTAGAAAAGGTTTTATTTCTTCTATTTGCCACTTTTGCAGTGAAACAACACGTTTGTGTACTCGTATTTAGTTTTTGAGTAATAATTGTATGCAATACAATTCCAATCTCATGTGTAAATCTTTACACTCTCAGGGTTCTTATCACACACCACACTGAATCTTTAGGTAAGCTTAGGTTTTAGGTGGCTGACATTACTGCCTTTTGACCTCTTTAGTACTGAATTTGTATGAGATTAACACTCTCCAAAAGTGATCTTAGCACATTACCCATTCACTTGTACACAGACCATCCATCTGGTCTCAAAAGCAAGTAACAGCAAAAACGCATCAAAATTGCAAAGGTGCTAAGTTTTGATAGCATTAATCTCTATTTGATTAGACCACATCAGAGGAAAGTTCAATAGCTAAATTACATCCAAATGTATATTTCTAGATCTTGATTTCATTGTGATGCGAAGGAAAGAAAAAAC